AAACTTATGCTTAACATCAGGAAGAGACAGTTGAAATTTCTACAGAAGGATGCTGAGGATACCATGGACCGAACATGTGAGAAACGACGAGGTTTTAGAGAAAATGGAAACAAAAAGGAAACTTATACTTAACATCAGGAAGAGACAGTTGAAATTTCTACAGAAGGATGCTGAGGATACCATGGACTGAACATGTGAGCAACGACGAGGTTTTAGACAAAATGGAAACAAAAAGGAAACTTATACTTAACATCAGGAAGAGACAGTTGAAATTTCTACAGAAGGATGCTGAGGATACCATGGACTGAACATGTGAGCAACGACGAGGTTTTAGAGAAAATGGAAACAAAAAGGAAACTTATACTTAACATCAGGAAGAGACAGTTGAAATTTCTACAGAAGGATGCTGAGGATACCATGGACCGAATATGTGAGCAACGACGAGGTTTTAGAGAAAATGGAAACGAAAAGGAAACTTATTCTTAACACCAGGAAGAGACAGTTGAAATTTCTACAGAAGGATGCTGAGGATACCATGGACCGAATATGGGAGCAACGACGAGGTTTTAGAGAAAATGGAAACAAAAAGGAAACTTATACTTAACATCAGGAAGAGACAGTTGAAATTTCTACAGAAGGATACCATGGACCGAATATGTGAGTAACGACGAGGTTTTAGAGAAAATGGAATGAAAAAGGAAACTTATACTTAGCATCAGGAAGAGACAGTTTAAATTTCTACAGAAGGATGCTGAGGATACCATGTACCGAAACATGTGAGCAACGACGAGGTTTTAGAGAAAATGGAAACAAAAAGGAAACTTATACTTAACATCAGGAAGAGACAGTTGAAATTTCTACAGAAGGATGCTGAGGATACCATGGACCGAAATGTGAGCAATGACGATGTTTTAGAGAAAATGGAAACAAAAAGGAAACTTATCTTAACATCAGGAAGAGACAGTTGAAATTTCTACTGAAGGATCTTAAGGATGCTGAGATAATGGACCGAACATGTGAGCAATGACGATGCTTTAGAGAAAATGGAAAAAAAAGGAAACTTATACTTAACATCAGGAAGAGACAGTTGAAATTTCTACAGAAGGATGCTGAGGATACCATGGACAAAACATGTGAGCAACGACGAGGTTTTAGAGAAAATGGAAACAAAAAGAAAACTTCTACTTTACATCAGGAAGAAGCAGTTGAAACTTTGGGGGCGAATAATGAGGAAGGAGGGCTTGGAAAATCTGATACTCGCAGGATATATTGAAGGAAAGAGGGATAGAGGAAAATCAGTTTTTTAAAATACTTGAGAAGGAGTTGAATAAATGGATGATGGAATATCAACGACGAAGTTTTAGAAAAAAGAAGAAGACAAATAACAAAACTTATGAAGAGCTAGAAAGGACAGGAAGATGTGAAGGTCCATGATCGCCTATGCCCTGAAGGTACACGATAGATAAAAGGAAGAGATATTTGATTCGGGTACATAGTTTGTTATTATTAGAAATGCCTTGATTGCTGATTTAATTTCTTGCGTGTGGAGTTACCATTCAGACTTATTTCATCATCTTTGTTTTTTATTACTGGGGACTAAAACCAATTATTAAAAGAAAATAACTTATTTTTCAATGCTATTTAGGAACTCCGAAGTTATTTTGTCACTGATTGTAACGGAACAGGTAAATTGGAAACGAAAGAAAACTCAACAATAATAAATTTTCATTAATGAAATATATGAGCAAAAACGAAGACTGAAGAATATGCCAAAATTAATACAGGTGTGAAGGCTGTTTGAATGATTGATTTGGTGGGGTGGAATAAACAATTTATTTATTAGGGCCGATGCAAGGTGAGAGAATTGTTTCATTGGATATGAAATGTTTATTTATATTGTAATTTTTATTTATTTATTTTGTTTCTGGTAGGTGGTTATTGATAGATTAAGTGGCGAAGGGAGAGAGAGAGAGAGATTTCAGATGTAAATTCGTAGAGATAGATACACACACACACATATATATATATATATATATATATATATATATATATATATAGATAGATAGATAGATAGATAGATAGATAGATAGATTAGATAGATAGATAGATAGATAGATAAGTATTTCATTGAGATATATACTTATTACATTCAGATAGATGTTACATTGAGATAGATAGACAGATAGGGAGAGAGAGATATGAAAACATAGATAGATAGATAGATAGATAGATAGATAGATAGATAGATAGATAGATAGGTATTAGATTCAGATATATGCATATTACATTTAGCTACATGTTACATTCAGATAGATAGACAGATACAGAGAGATAGATTAAAACAGATAGATAGATAGATAGATAGATAGATAGATAGATAGATATTACATTCAGATATATACATATTACATTCAGATAGGTAGATGTTACATTCAGATAGATAGATAGAATAATAGAATGTGGGAGAGATTAAAACATAGAACAATATATAATATATATATATATATATATATATATATATATATATATGTAGATAGATAGATAGATAGATGTTACATTTAGATAGATAGATAGATAGATAGATAGTACATTCAGATAGATAGATAGATAGATAGATAGATAGATAGATAGATAGATGGTACATTCAGATAGATTGAATAGTCTCTTTTTTATTTATATCTTCTCTAAAACTTCGTCGTTACTCACATGGTATGTTCAAAGCATTCTTTGTATCCTTCTGAAAAAAAAACCCACACACATTTCTGTTTCTTCAAGTTTATTCATCTGTGAGAAGTTTGTTCAGTATTCACTGCCACATAGGAGGGCTGATATCACGTAAGAGTTGAGCACTCATGTCTTTGTTTTTAACGAGGTTTTCTTGTTTATTAATATTTCCTTTTTGTTTCTTGGAAGTCATCTTTTGGTATTCCAATATAACTTCGGATTTCGGTGTCATATTTTACGCGCTCCTTGCTCTTCATTTAAATGTTCGAAATTGTTACATTTTGGCAGCTGTCGTTCGTCGGATGAATCTTGGAATAGGAGGCTAATATTTACGCTGAGTCATTGACTTCCAGCTGTTTTAACTAGCCTAAATTAGTCTATTATCACACTATATGCTAACATATTACCATCATTATCCCTATCATAATGCGTCCTGAGTAAAACGATAAACTACAATCCCCGTCCTGGGTAAGACGATAAACTACATCCGCGTCCAGGGTATGACGATAAACTATATCCGCGTTCTGGGTATGACGATAAACTATATCCACGTCATGGGTAAGATGACAAACTACATCCGCGTCCTGGGTAAGACGGTAAACTACATCCGCGTCCTGTATAAAACGATAAACTACATCCCCGTCTTGGGAAAAGACGATAAACTACATCCCCGTCTTTGGTAAGACGATAAACTACATCCCGTCCTGGGTCAAGACGATAACGAAACATGGTCCGTCTGGGTAAGACGGTTTCCACATCCGCGTCCTGTATAAAACGATAAACTACATCCCCGTCTTGGGTAAGACGATAAACTACATCCCCGTCCTGGGTAAGACGATAAACTACATCCCCGTCCTGGGTAAGACGATAAACTATATCCGCGTCCTTAGCAAGGCGATAAACTACATCCGCGTCCTGGGTAAGACGATAAACTACATCCGCGTCCTCTGTAAAACGATAAACTACATCCTCGTCCTGGGTATGACGATAAACTATATCCGTGTCCTGGGTAAGACGATAAACTACATCCCCGTCCTGGTTAAGACGATAAACTACATCCGCGTCCTGGGTAAGACGATAAACTACATCCGCGTCCTGGGTAAGACGATAAACTATATCCGCGTCCTGGGTAAGACGATAAACTACGTCCAACAGCAAGGCCTCTGATCAGGAGATTTTGAGGAGCATGGAACGACCTCTTAATTGCTGGTATTCCCAGGGTCACCCTGACCAGGATCGTAGCACCTGTTATGGTCCCAGCTATAGGAAAATAGTTGCCCCACACCAAACCGCGGTCAATAGACTATGAAAGTGAAAAATTGGTTTTAATTTCAGCTATATTCTTTTGTAAAAGATTATTACCAGCAATGAATTTTTGAAGAAAAAAAAAAAGATTACTAGCAATACATTATTATCAGCAATACATTTTTGAAGAAAAAAATATTACCAACAATATATTATTGGAAAAAAATATTAGCAGCAATAAAAATCTTGTCGGCATTAAATGACCCATTGAGGTGTTGATATGCCGTAAAACAAACCGAACCAAACCAAACTATTATAATGACGGTCAGCAAACTGTGAACAGAGGCGTGGGAGGACCACATGAATTTTCCATCTTTAACAAAAGTGAAGGTATATAGAAAATATTCAACATTCATTCACTTTAACGTTTCTCTGGGTTGAAATTTATAAAATCATTTTGCGTAAGGCAGATTTACATCAAACTATACTTTTCAAATTCACTGTTATTGCTGTTCCTAGCAAAGAGATATTTCCAGACCTGTTTTTTAAGGTAATGTAAAAAGTAAACAGCTTTTTTATATCTTAAATTTCCTTAAATTTATATGTGCTATACAATTTAGTTCTTAATACTCTTGGAAGTCTCTCTACTGGTGTTCTATTTGTTATCTCTCTGCGTATGGGTTTTTGCGGGCCCAGTCTACTGTCGGATGAATTGTTTAAATATGAACTTTATTTTGACTGATTTTATTGGTTGGTTCGTTTTTTTTACGGCTTATCAACACTTTAGAGGTTATTCAAAACCAGAAAATATTTTTAGAGTGTAAGACGTTTTCATTTGAGATGATAATTATTTTCTGATACAAATCCTATTATGTAACCCATAGCTGGCGTTGGGGAGAATAGTTAGGTGCATATCTATCCCAATGATATTTGCACGCAAGTGAACATAACGAAACCTAATTAAAATTCGAACTGGACTTTCCGATTTCAAATTCCGAGCCGTTATGAGGAACACCACCCGCACATTGTAGCTTACAGCACCTCGAATCTCAAAGCGGTCACACATCTCGGTACTGATCAGTTTCGAAGTTGCTTAACTTGCATGATCGGACGAGAACCGGTGTTTCAGCGAGATACGGCCGTGAGTCTCGGCTGTTTAAAATATCGAATTGATTGTTACCGTTTTAATTTCTAAATAAATTAGCATAACTTGTTAATACGCCTTGAAACGCAATACTCAAATTCAACTCGTCATACGCATAATTCGATGCAATGGCGAACACGTAGGCACTCAGTTCTCGCATGCATTGTGGGAATTCCCTTTGATTGATTCCGACACAACGAAAAGACAGAATTATCCACACTTCAAGGGTCGCCCGGGCTTTATTTTATCAATCTTGTAGTGAACTATCGATGAACCTTGGAACTTAAAATACACATGGCGTACCGCACGTGATCGGAACAAAGCTCAATTGTTGCACCGTGAACAAATGGGGAATAATAATAATAATAATAATAATAACAATAATAATAATATCAAAATAAAAACGATAATAATAATAAAGATACTACTACTAATAAAAAATAATAATAATAATAATAATAATAATAATAATGATAATAATAATAGTAAAATAAAAATGATAATAATAATAAAGATACTACTACTAATACTAATAATAAAGATAATAATAATAATAATAACAATAATAATACTACTAAAACTAATAATAATAAGAATAAAAGATACTACTAATAATAATAAAAAATAATAAAAATAAAATGATAATAATAGTAAAATAAAAATGATAATACTAACAATAAATACTACTAATACTAATAATAAAGATAATAATAATAATAATAAAGATAATAATAATAAAGTTAATAATAATAATATTAATAATTATTATATTAATAATAAAGCTAATAATAAAACTGATATTAATAATAAAGTTAATATTAATAAAGATAATAATAATAATAAAGTCAATAATAATAATGAGAATAATGATGACGATAATAATAATAATAAACGTAATAATAATAATCAGAATAACAGTAAAAATAACAATACTAAAGTTAATAATACCACTACTAATAATAATGAAGATAATATTAATATTAAGTTAATAATAATAAAATAATAATAAAGAGAATAATAATAAGCATAATAATTTTAAAGTCAATAATAATAATGATAATAATAATTAAGATAATAATAATAATAATAATAATAAAGAAAATAATAAAGTTAATAATAATAATAATAATAATAATAATAAAGTTAATAATAGAAAAATAAGAAATAAAAAATAATAACAACGACTACAAGAACATGAACAAAAAGATTTCTTCTTAGAATATTAAAAATGTTGAAAATAACTTCAAAGGCAATAGAATGCGCCTCATTTTGCACTCGGTCAGTCTTATTGGACTGTTGTATCTTGTTTGTTTTTTAAGCTAAATTCTTTTTTCGTTTCATTCATCAGTTTTATATAGTTTCATGTTTCTCTCTTTGTAAGCAGCAAATGTACACAATAGAAAAGAATTAATGCTGACATGCAAAAAAAAAAAAAAAAAGATAAAATTAATATTTGAATAAGTTTTTGTTTTGTTTTGTTTAGGGAGTGGTGAGCTTTAATTATAATAATCTCACCTTAATATAACCCTTAGTGATTTATGTATAGATTTCCTTCATGCGCCGAAAGTGTGTGCCGAAGCTCTATTCTATCTGTGAGTAGCTAAAAGGGAAATATCAACGCCATTATGCTGTTGCTTCCCGCGTCAAACAAGCAACTCTTTATTTTCCGCGCATAAATATTTGCATTATGGCATTTGAATTGAACGTTTGGAAACTGCTGTGTTTTCACTCAAGAAAACCAACATCATTAAATGTGTTTTCAATTTAATACAAGTTCAAATACCAAAAATATTTGACATATACGTTGCAGTGTAAGGAAACAGAATAAGAAAAGGGGTGGCAGAGTCCCATTTCCATCCGTATGAATAGATCACTTCTTCCCCAGTTGAACAGCAGGACAGAGAGGTTCCGATAGCCTTGGTTGGCAAGCAGTCTACCGCAGAATGAAACGACAGCATATGGCGGGAAATCTTCTGTCTAGTAAGTCATGAATCGAAAAAGTACTGATCGTCCAAGCGTGAATTTTTTTAAATCTGACATTTTTATTAGATCAAACCTTTTTGTAGCGGACACTTTTTTAAAATAAATTATCCACTATAATAACATTTGAATAATAAAACACACACACACACACACACACACACACACACACACACACACACACACAATATATGTATTTTTAAGACATTTTTATGTTTATATATTTTTTTATAGATAATATATATTTAAGTAAATGCTCTGTTTATAATAAACAGTATTAAACAGTATTTACCCGCCTGAATTTACTTAAATATTTGTATCTATAAAAAGAATGTATAAACATGAAAAATATTTAAAATAATTGTCGGACTTTTGTCTATTACATTATATATATATATATATATATATATATATATATATATATATATAAAGATGTTACATACAGTTTTCAAACATTCTATATCACGACATTTTGCATTTTTAATATTTTTTAACTTATGTTAATTTTGAATTTTACATTTCATTGAATCTTTGGATTGTTGATTTACGATTAAAAATTTAAATTAAAACCATGGAATATTCTTATATTGTCTTTTTGTTTATATTTTTCTTATTTTATTTTTAAATTTATAGGTCTGATGATATGAAAATATGGGAATTTATATTAAAATGGAATAAATTATGACCATGGAAATTTAGTATTTTCCCTTTATTATATCTTTATATATATATATTATATACCTGATTATTATATTCGAATTTGAATTCAAAAAAAAATTTGTAAATATATATATATTGCAATATATATATATATATATAATATATATATAATATATATATATATTCAACCCTGAGCATTAACTTGTATATATATATATATATTTTTTTAACGAAAAATCCAAAAAAAAATATTGAAAAATTTAAAAATTCAGTTTGATGGAACAGAGCTAACCTTAACTCAATTTAATTCAAATAATTTTATATTGAATTTTTCTGATTCTTTTTTTTTTTCGTTTGACCTCTTATGTCGCGAGTTGGAATCATATTTTTAAATAAATATATATATATATATATATATATATATATATATATATATATATATATAAATATATCAAAATGTTCAAATTTATAAAAGAAAAAAAAAACTACTACAACAAAAGAATTTTCCAATTATCATATTATAAAAAAAACGCATTATTTTTAAATTTTAAAAAATTCAACCTTATTTTGCTTTCTGCACACTTTCAAAATTTTTAAAATTAAACAATAAATACATTTTAAAAAACATATTTCGATTCACATCTAATCTTTTCGTGTCCTGTTATTACCTGGATGAATTAAAAAAACAAATCAATTTCCATGCATGATGATGTCTGTATGAACAGATGAAAGTACTTGCCAAAAAAAGACATTATACAAGGTGAATTTATTAAAATCAGGGATCACAACATACATCTAGAGTTTAGGATAAGGTTAATGTAAGTTTAATAAATTTATTTGTGAAGATTTCGCCATTTATATCATTTTTTCAATTAATCTTTTTTGTTTGAATGATTCATAAAATATATATATATATATATATATATATATATATATATGTATAAATGTGTGTGTGTGTGTTAAATATTGTATGAAGCAGTTTCACCAACATAAGGACTGACCAAATTTAACGAAAAAAAAAAATCAAATGAAAATTAACAGATAAAGTTTATTTTCTTCAAGAAAGTCATTTTTCTGTAGTTCATTTTGCTACTAACAATTTTTTTTTTTCCTGATGTTGACTTCATGTTGGCCGAATTTATTCGAGGAATCTAAAGGAAATAATAAAACAAAAAAAATATTAATATACAACCCAGTGTGTTTGAAAATTTTAATTTTTTAAAGCTTTTATAAAGAAAAACACACACACACACACACACACACACACACACAAACATATATATATATATATATATATATATATATATATATATATATATATACAAGCAAATGATTTTTATAAATAAAAATCAATCATTTGACTTTCATAAAGTGGTTTTATTTTTTTCTGTCCCTCATCAGGGGTATCAGCAATATATATATATATAAATATTAAAATGTTATATAAAAGTCCGAAAATTTATTTATTAAAACATTTTTTATTTTTTAACGTTCTTCATAGATAATTTCTTAAATTTTGTATCTGAAAAAGAACGTTAACGATAAAAATGTCTTGTTTTAATATATATATATATATATATATATATATATATATATATATATATATATATATATGTATTAATACAAGCAAAATGTTTGTCACTTAGGTGATGACGAAACTTTCAATTGAAATCATATGATCCAAAATTTAGACGGACCTTTCATTTAAATATTAAAATCAGGGGTAATATATATATATATATATATATATATATATATATATATATATATATATATATATATATATATATATATATATATATATATATATATATAACTCTAACAACAAATTTCTTCAAAATTGTGATTGAAAAACATCTGATATTGCAAAAATTCCGATAAAACAGATATTACAATTTTTTGAAATCCAAGTCATTTTTTATTAGCATTGATTGGTTGTGAAAATATTGACTAGCCTTAATAAAATCAGATATTTTGGATCTGGCTCTGCTCTTAGCTCCTCCGGCAAATGCCATATTAATTTTCGAACAACGCAGTAAATTCTGTATTCTTCCTAAATCTGTCGATTTCGCGGCGCTTCAAAACTGCATTATGTTATATTTTGAAAAAAAATATGGTTTCGCTTTTATGGAGAATTGCCATTTCTTCGGTTGGTTTCGTTTAATGCAAAGCCTCTTTTAGCGGCAAGGCACCGTGAAATGATTGCAGATTTGAGCCGTTTGGAACCTAAGCAATCAGCAATGGCCAACCGGCAAGATAGTCATCTTTAATAGCCTGGAAAAAATGCGGTTGATATCATCTCATGTAGTTTTACAAATGACGTTAAATCTTGTTTGTTTTTTATGCATGACGTCCTAA